ACACAACATTCTTTCTGTTCTTTGCTTTCATGTTTGTTGCCGTTTGTGTGGAACCAGCTCTTCTTTCAAATTCTCTCCACACATTCATCTCTCTCTTACGCCCTGAGTGACAAAACGGGCCACCCAGTAACCAGGGGAAACGCTGTGTGACGTTACACACACCCTCACACAGGCTTAGTCAGAGATTGCAGCAGCAACATAAATCCTCACACACACACACACATACATGCACAGTCACTTATACACAAGAGAAAAGAGCAAGAGATTAACCCCAAGTATTCATAGGAAGTTGTTTTTTTTCCTTCATTCACACAAATACTGACACACACACACACACACACACTCACAAACACTCCCTCAAGTAATTGTATTTGGAAAGACGAGTCAGCAGAACAGTCTGAGCTGGCATGCTGGGTTACGTAGAGGCTGACGCACACGGCCCGGCCACAGCACCATGGTTTCTTCTGCCATCTTACTCACTTCCTCTGACCGACTTATTGAGATGTGTGGTCATCCCTTCGTCCCTCCTGCTACACAAGGAGCCACAGCCAGCCGAAGTGCAAAAGGTGCAACTAAGATGGGAGAAAAGAAAAGATTTCTGCAGATGCTGAACGGCATGTGTGAGAGACGCCTCCGATTCAACAATAGACTCAGTGTTTTTATTGATTCCTGTGGGGAGATGAAGACGCAGCAGAAAACGAGAGCTCAATCAGCCAATCAGTGCTGAGCGTGCTAATTGGGACCGCTGCTTATCTTCCTCTGTATTTCACATACTCATAATTTGATGCAACTTATGTGTGTTTTTGTGTTAGTGTTGTGTAAGTTCACCTGTTTAGTGATAGGCAGGTGAACAGAAAGTTTCAGTGAGGTCTTACGGTCTGAGAAGTTAAACCACCAACGGGAACATGTGTATTTGAAGCAGCAGAACAGATTCGATCAACCAATCAGAATCCAGTATTCTGACGCACTGCTTGTGTTTGAGTCCAGTTATTAAGAGAGAGAGCGGTTCTATCTTCAACCACAGCGTAATAGAAAACTCAAATTAACTCAAAGGCCAACGATGACCAACGGCAGCAACCACTTTCTATGTTTATTTTAATTATCCCACCACCACATTGTGGGTCCTGACCCTGCTCTCGAACAGCATGGTGCAAAGAGACACGACTGGTTAAAGGCCTGCGCTAATCACCAGTTGATGTGGGTTCAAATCCCAAACCAATCTCTTTAAAATGAAGACAGAACTTTGAGTTATTAAGATGAATGACACGCACAGAGTCAGAAGAGATGAAGGGTGGGAGGAATAACGAGAAGAGGGTAAGAGGGTTAATGACGGTCTCCAACACAAGGCGAGCAAGACTGCTCTTGTTTGTGAACACACACACACACACACACACACACACACACACAGGTGATGAGATTGCACATGATAAATTGATGAGCTGACTAACGCTACACCTCTTGTCTTTATGTCATCCACCCATCTGTCGGGGAGAGAGAGAGAGAGAGGTGGTGATAAAAGAAAGACAAAAGAAAAGAGGTGGGCGACTGAGGTGTGAAGAAAACGAAAAGACGGGGGAGAGAGAGAAGTAAAGAGAGTGATGGTGTTTGAGCCAATAGGGGAACTCTTTGTCTTCCTAATGGATCCATTAAGGGTGTGTGACCCCTGAGGGTCAATCTCAAAAAAAGGTGGAGACACACACGCACACACACACATACACACACACAGACAGACACACACACACGGGACAATATGGATTATGGTATAACTAGCAGTGCCAGGAGCTGAGGGAGAGGCGACGACACTGTGTAATCTGTATTTTATTGGCACAGATTTTCTCACTGGTGGTTCCTGACAATCTCTCCTCTCTTCTTTTCTCCCTCCTGCACTTTTCCCCGACACCCCTCGCTCGGCGTGTCTCACACATTTTCGTGTATCTCAAATTGAGAGCGAGGTTAAACTAATTTAAAAAAGAAATGTGATTGCATTCCTGCAGTAATGAAAAGACTGTGTGGGATGGTCAGTTTTATTGGTATTACGTGAAAATTAAAATCTTGTTAATGCAGTCACGTCTCTACTTGTTTCCTTTTCGCTCAACCTGCTCATTTCTTTTCTTCTCATTTCACCCATTTACCGTTAATCTTGTCACTCCCCGTAAATCACTGCTCCGGTCCCCCTCTGCACCATCACATCCTAATTCCCTTTCTCGCCAACCATCTTCTCGCCGTCTCATCCTCACATTACCGCTTCCTAATTTAAAGTGCCAGTGACCTTTTGTGCAAAGACGTTTTGCAGGCATACGTATACACACAAACACACTCAAACAGTAATAACACCATGAAACGATGTCTAAGAGATAGCGTGTAATCTTGAGCAAGTACATTTTCATTGTCATGCCTCTGTGTGTGTGTGTGTGTGTGTGTAATGAAATTCTATTTGTCCTTGAGAATGTTCCAGGCAAATTACCTATTCAGCAATATCACACATCAACTATGAAAGGTTTGTGAGTGTGTGCGTCTGGTACAATAACAATTAAACAGGAACATTATAATGTACAAACTGTCCAGAAGGACATAGAGTTCATTGATGTGGACAGCTTCAACACCCACACACACACACTCAAATTTGACTGCAGGGCCTTCAAGTCTGAAAGAACCATTTAAAAAGAGAAAATACAAAAAAACAACACGTGCAAAAAAAATGTTATGCAACTTGCAATGCCTTAGATGTAAAATAAGAATCAAAATCAATTCAACAGTAGATGCCACACACACACACACACACACACACACAGGACAGAAAACAGCCTGCCAGTCTGCGCCTCTCTCTTAGTGTCACATCTTTGAGAGGTAGTTGAAGAAAATGAAAACCCCAGAGAAAAGGATCAATTACTTGCTGTAAAAGACCGGAGAGAGGTTTTCATATTAGAAAGATAAAGTGTTGCTCGGAGTTCTGCGATAAAGACAGAGAGGAGAGAGAGAGAGAGAGAGAACAAAACAAAAAGAGAGAGATGGATGCAGAGAGGGGGAGAAAAACAGGGAGAACGATGGGAGACGTAAGAGATGGATGATGTTTGAGGCCTGTTTACCAATTTGCCTCAGAGATGTGTCAGAGATGTCTATTGTGTGTGTGTGAGTGGTGGGGGGGTGTCATTTCGAGTGTCTGAGAGAGCAAACTGAGCTGAATTAAGTTGTAAATTGGAAGGGTGTGATTGCGCCCGGCGCAGTGAGACTTGCTTATCATTCAGCCGCATCATCTCCAGCAGCCGCGGCCAGAGATACCGAGAGGGACAATGACGAGACTAATTCTATTTAGTCCATACACCGTCGTCAGGAGAGGCCGAGTGAGAGAGAGGGGGAGACGGGGGAGAAGTGGCGGAGGGACGGGGGGGAACGAGGGAGCGGAAAACGTGGGGAGAAAGAACGAGAGAATGCGAGGGGGAGCCTCACAGCGCTGAGTGACTTCAATAGCCTCTCCTTCCTCCCTCGGCCCATCGCTGCCTCTCAATTAAATTTCAATCAATGGAAAAGCCTCATTATCCCCACTGCCAGCAATGCTGTGGAATTGATCTCTATCCCCGTGGTACAGCCACACAATGCTAAATTATAAAGCTTTGGTCCGGAGTGTCACCAGTGTTAGCTGCCTCCCGATAACGCACATGGGCTGATGAGACGCCATGTGAAGCACAAACCAGCAGAGAAATACACTTGATTGTATTTTAAATGAAGGCAGTCCACATGGTCATCGGTGTTTAGGGTCAACGGGTGATGTTTAATGTGAAAATACAAAAATTGGACTAAGAGGAGACGCAGAAACTCCACTGAAGGGACAACATGTCCCATCTGACCTGAGAACGCAATGGGATCCTCACAGAAGAGCTGCATGGGGAGAGAGGGATGTGTGGAATATATGTGACCTGATCTCAGATAAGCAGATGGACAGATAACAGAGATTTCCCTGTAACAGCCTGGTTGACATTGGCTCCCATGCATTTTGCCGTGTGGAGTCGGTTGGGAACTAAAGGAGTAAATGTGTTGTCATAGTGATTCACATTGTTCCATATAAAATCTTATTAGATCTTTTTTGTCCTTCGTTTGATGCAGTTTGAAATTTCAAAGACCTGACAGCATACTTTGACCTTTGAATACATTTTCCATTTTTGGCCATGAGAGTATGTCATACCTTTTTAGTTTGTTCCAAAAGGATTTATTAAATATTATTACATTTCCTCCCATGTCCTTGGAAAAAGATTTTGAATTTGTCAAATGTCGGTAAAACTACCACAATGATTTGTTTTAATGTTTTTGATGCTTGAGCTGCTCTTGTTTTTCTTGAGGTTAAAGAAAACCCACATGGGAATGAAAACGATTTAAAAAATCTATTAAAAGGTTGTCAGTCGAGCCAATAACAAAACTGAAGAGTTCAATAAAATTGAAATTAAAGATTACGTTTTTTGTTCAATCAACTGAATGATGGTTTCATGTTTTTCCACCTATGCACAAGGTGTTTGATTGTTTAACTCTACAACCAACTCTTTAACCATGTCCAAGCTGACAGGATGAGAGGCTACTGCTGTCATATACAATTACTTCAAGGTAATCATATGCTTGAAATGGTACAATCAAAAAATATCCAAAAATGGTACAGGATGCAAATAAAACACGATACCTTCGAATTGTGTTTTAATTGACTGCTCACGTGTCAATAGGTTGTTGTTGTATGCATCATATGCTGTCAAAGGCATTCTGGCTTTTCTATTGAAAGGCTCAAAACCCCTCAGGTTTGCACACACACACACACACACACACACAGACACAATGCACAATAGGTGTGAGGTGTGGGGGTTAAAGAAGAAATGTGTACTTTCATACAGATGAGGACAGAGGTGTCCCGGGGTGGAGGCTGTTTAGAATGCATCTGCCGACGACCCCAGAGAAGCAGACAGATGATTTCGCCACAGGTACAATAACACATGACACATGCACTCTCACACACACACACACACGCACACACACACACACAAAGCACAGGGTTCCTCTGACATTTTTGTGATGGCTAAATGACTGCAGGGGGTCTGGTGATAAACTTCTCAACCTTCCCTTTGTCTTTTCTCCTCAACAAAACCACGAGGCCTGCACAGATGAATTTATTCAAAGACAGAGGTCCCATGCAGGATGTTCATGAAGGGACGACATCTCTCTCCTCATCTTCAACCCTGGGTTGTGCTTTCATTCCCAGTTTCTCCCTGCTGCAGCTTTTAGAGTCACTCTCTCTCTCTCTGTTTCTGTGAGACAGAAAAAAGTTTGTGTGCGGGTGAGTGTGTTGAAGGTTTTGTTGTTTTCAAGGTTTCCACTCTGCTTGCAGTCACATATTCTTGCAGTGTGTGTGTGTGTGTGTGTGTGTGTGTGTGTGTGTGTGGTGGAAAAGACATTAAGCCACAAGAATGGACAAAAATTGATGTCCCCACAGGAACAGGCTGTTTTCTGAGGGTTTATACTTGGTTTTAATTAGGTGTAGGTCGGGGATAGGGCAGTAGTGGTTCTAGCTTGTATGGTGCTGTGGGTAAGAGGAGTCACTTGTTTATACTCACCATCATCAAGTCCGACTGACAATGTATTAAAAGTGTATCGCTTGTACTCAAGGGGATTGAATTGCCTGGTAAGTCTCTGATACTTTGAGAAAGTCGTTCATCTTCTGAATCCCCAGTTTTCTCCTCTATTACATTTTTAATGGGCTCAAGTGTTGCAAATATGAACATATTCATGCTAATAAATCATGTGTACACAAGCTACAGTTACACATATTGTGGCAGATTTGATGGCAAACATTTGCAAAATTAATTTAATTTCCTTTTGATGCCAACATCCAATATCTGCTGGTTACTGATGCTTGAGTAGTTTTCTTTAGGTACTCCGCACACCAGTATCATACGAGGAGAACTTTTACAGTAAATCATTAAATCCTCATTTGCAACGTTTACTTGTTTATGAGATAAAGAGGTGGCAGAGAAAACAATTTCTGTTGTGATTGTGCTGCAGATGAGACGACTGCGGCGATTCCTCAGACGGTGACAGGAACAAAGTTGCTAATTAAGTGGTGAGAAAGTCTCCAGCTTGAAGGGGTTTCTGGAACCTGTGTTTGTGTTCAGCAGAGTCGTGACATTATTCTGAGAATAAATGACCAAGTTTCACATTGAGATGAGTGAGCTGTCGAAACCTTGAGCTCTTTTCTCTTTATGTCCTGCATGAAACAGTTATAAAGAGCTGCAATGCACAGACATGACAGTCAACAGCGGAAACTAAAACTGCACTAAGAGTAGAATGAAATATAATATAGTATATACACAATCTGGCAGATACCAAGTGGAACTCTGGGAAGCACAGGTTCTCCTGCTTGTTATTTCATAATGAGTATTTTTTGTTAATCACAAGGATTATTACTTGATAATATTATGAGAATACGACTTTATACTTATTGTTGTAATATTGTGACTGCAGTGCACAATTACAAATGATCTATGATGATGTTAAAAGTTAGTGTTTTATCTGAGCTACATCAATTTTCCACACAAGTAACACAAACACACACAATGAAATTATTCAGCTGGCCTTGGTCTGCAGTGACAGCACTGCAAAGCCATCTTTTGTGTGTGTGTGTGTGTGTGTGTGTGTGTGTGTGTGCATGCGTCTGCAGGCTGCAATGAATTTCAGCTAGTGTACTGCTGGGAGAACATAGTTCAATGAGGGAGCTTTTAGTCTTCAACAATAGCTAACTGTGCTTAACATGGTGTGTGTGTGTGTGTGTGTGTGTGTGTGTGTGTGTGTGTGTGTGTGTGTGTCATGGAGGAAATTCACACATCTAACACACTCAAACACCTTCACACAGAGTTACGTGATGTGTTCAGTAAAATACTTTATAAAGTTTGCCTTCTTTGTGTGTGTGTGTCCGTCAAGGCATACTTCTCGGTGGCACTGCAGTAACAATGCCCCATCATCCTTGTCAAGGTTGGACTGAAATAACATCTCAAACACACACACACACACACACACACACACACAC